GAGGCATCTGGCTGGGTATATGAATCGGAAAATGGGACTAGGTTTATCTAGGATATCTGGTCGGCATGGATGAGTTGGACTGAAGGGTCTGCTTCCGTGCTGTACATGTCAATGACTCTATGATTCTAACCACAAAGGATTTAGTGTCAGAATTGTGCTGTACACTGGTAATTTGATTCGTAGTTAAATGCCGCCATGAGCAAAGCATTTTGTGAAGATTACAATAGTCCTTACTTTTTAAGCCTGAGGATCATGGCAGGGATTTTGCCCTGCTGCCTAGCTCCCAGAAGGGTGAAGTACTAAAAGGCAGCCTATCTTGCATTCACAGAGTACATTATATAATCTATAATAAAATGGGGATTAGGTGCTGTCGACCAATTGCTAATGCGAAGGTAATGCAAAGAATTGTGCTGTCACGAGAGAAGCCCTCTAAAAACATGCGAGTGGGTGGAAGATTTGCAGTCAGATTCTTCAGCATGTCTTCCTGTCGTTCGGAATGCTCATGAGGGACTCTGTTGTAAAGCTCAATTTACATCTTCTGTTCTGCCATTCAAATATAATCTATCATCAATTGTTAATGGAGTACTTGGATAAGTATAACTTGATCAAAGACAGCAAACATAGAATCATAGAATGAATGTAGCATTTGGCCCATTATATCTGTCTCCGTACTCTTGTACAACTATGCAATTAGTCCCACCTACCTTGTCTTGCGCCATAGCCCAATGATTGTGTTCCCCATCATGTATCCTGTTATATTTAAATTTATCCCTTAGTTTGGTTTTGGAAGTTATTAATGAATCAGCTTCTAGTCTCCTTTCAGGCAGTGCTTTCCACATAATAACAACTTACTAAAGAAAAACATTTTCTCATCTCCTCACACTTTAGGAAGGATGTGATGATCCTTGAGAGGGTGCAGAGGGGGTTTCCGAGAATCTTTGTAAAGATGAAGGGTTTGAACTACAAGCTTGGGTTCAAGAAACTAGAGTTGTTCTTGTTGGCATGAAATAGATTATTGGCAGATATGACAACAAGGCAAAAGATAATAGAATCATATACACACCACCCTTTATGTAAAAAAAGTTGTCCATCATTCCTTTCAAATTTTTCCTCTATCACCTTAAAGCTATGCCCTATAGTTTGGATTCCCCTACCCTGGGGAAAAAGCCTTGGCTATTCATCTTATCTATACCCCTCATGATTTTTTAAACCTGTATAAGGTCACCCCTGCAGCTTCCTACATTCCAGGGTGAAGAATCCCAGCCTATCCAACCTCTCCTTATACCTCAAACCCCCCAGACTCAGAAACATCCTTGTAAATCTTTTTTGCACCCTTTCTAGGTTAATAACATCCTTCTCATCGCAGGGTGACCAGAATTGTACGCGGGTATTCTGAAAGTGACCTCACCAATGTCTTGTACAGCTATAACCATTCCTACTTGGAGTTTCACACACCAGAGTTTCAAATTGAATTTATACTTTCTAAATGTGGTAGTACAGGTACAAAAATTAAGTTTGTTGTAGGACACGTGTGCCTCAGGACTCAAAGAAATGGATGTGTAAAACTCAGCAATTATGATTAGGTCAGAAAGGTAGATTGCAAATTGGCATAAATTGTGTTGGAAGACAGGGAGGTTGTAAGGTGGGAACTCAAACAGATGTAGAATTGGAGAGTGGCTGAGGAGGAGATTGAGATTTGGAATGGATCAGGAGAAAGTAGGGAGACTGGGGATCTGGACTTGAATAGGGTAGGGAAAATACAGATATGGAGGAGAAAGAAAGCAGATTGGGTGTGGAATGAATACTTTCTGAGGAGCTGAGAGTTATAACAAAAATCGAAAGAACTGCAGATGCTGTGAATCAGGAACAATAACAAATTTGCTGGAAAAGCTCAGCAGGTCTGGCAGCATCTGTGAAGGAAAAAGTAGAGTTAACATTTCGGTGACGCTTCCTCAGAGTGTGTGTGTGTGTGTGTGTGTGTGTGTAATAACAATGTGGTGAATGGCGGAATGTCAGTAAATTAAAGAATCGGTGTTATGATCTGATAATAATACTGGACAAGTCAGATTCTGGAGTGAAACCTGGCTTGATAGATCATAAGTTTTATTTTTTGAAATTTCTTTACTGTGGTAGTCAATCAGTGAACTATGCACACGAAGCTGTCGTTGTATTTTTAACAGACAAAATGATTTTATTAATTAAAAACAACACATATATGACAATTTATAAAGATTTTGACAGCAAAAAATATTTCAGTTTTTTTTCCAACAGTATCCTTTACTAATACTCAACCCCAGTGAAATATTACTCTTACCTTCTCTTTAAAATCACTTACTGAACTGATGAGCTTGTAAGCATTTCCTTTCAATGACTTTCTGCACATACACAGGATGTGATTCTTTCCATTAATACCTCCTGAGACACACAGTCACCTTTGCTAACTCACTGATTTTCTCACTAAGAGCTCACTGTAAGAGCTAATCTCAAGGCTTTGATTTTTAACTGTGGGCTAACACATTTGCTAATATGAATTTTTCTTCTGAATTGAAACCTGCTGCTTGCCTCTGAAACTCAAGTCAAAAATGACAGCGATCGTCTCTCCATTTAGCTTGTTGAGCCTTTTAGCTTAAGTCACATGATTTCTTGAATAGGCTATCTTCATATCATTCTTCTAAATGGTTTTCTAACCTAGTTCTGAAGAAAATAAGTCACCCTCACAGAACTAAAACCAACACTCCTTTTTGGATTCATTCATGGGATGTGGTCATCACTGGCTCGGTAAGCGTTTATTGCCCATCCCTAACTGGCATGATGGTAGTTAAGAGTCAACCACATTACTGTAGGTCTGGAGTCTCATGTAGGCCAGATCAGGTAAGGATGGCAGTTTCCTTCCCTCAAGGACATTAGTGAACCAGATGGGTTTTTCCGACAATCAAGAATGGATTCGTGGTCATCATTAGACTCTTAATTCCATATTTTTTTCCCATTGAATTCAAATTCCACCGTCTGCCATAGTGGAATTTGAACCCAGGTCCCCAGAATATAACCTGAGTCTCTGGATTAACAGTCCAGCGATAATACCACTAGGCCATCACCTCTCATTTACTTCTAGAATTATGACCTTTGAGCCAGTTATTGCGTTTACTATTGTTAATAAGAAAAAGCCGAGTTTTATGAATGTTACTATATGCTAGAGGTTCACTTTAAGGTACTATTAACAATTGGTAGAACAAATTTCCCGTTGAGAGTCCCTAATCCCACACTTGGTTTCCCTCTTTCATCTATTTATGGGCATTTTCCTGGAAACATGATGAAGATATTCAACTTGAAGAGCTCAGAATAAGATAGCATAGACAGGATATGCTCAGCTGTTATATGGTAAGGATGTCATATGTTTAACCCACAGGGATGCCATCAGCAGAGGTGGTGAGCTTTTGTGCTGATTTAGAATTTGGGTAAAAACCATTTTCAGATGAAGATTGACAATGCCAGAAACTGGATGTCTAAACCTCACTTGAAACTCAGATTTGTGACTTATTTTCATCACTATAGTGAGCGTTTAATATGTATTGTGCCTCCAAGCAGAACTTACTGCTTTGTTCTAACTTGGAACAACTACCTCATTAGTAATAGTTGTGAGGCATGCCCTAAGAATGGGAAGGTAGAAGAGTCTGTTTAGTTCATGCCTTGCAATAGTTAACCAAAAATGTATTCTTATGTTGCAGGGTGTCTATTCATAGTTGCATTCAGTATGATCATTTTTATCCCAGAACATGTTGTCATATATAGTCTTATATGTAGTTGTTATAATAGTAAGCAGTTGTAATCTACTTCAAGGTCACTTTTTACGGTATGGTAAAATTTTATATCTATTTTCCTTTCTTTATATATATGACCAAGAATGAATTCAGTTACTGGTGGAGAATTTGATTTGCAACTTGCTTGTTTTTGTTAATAAAAGCGTATGACTAATACACTATTGCAATTGTTTACTATTGTTGTAAGAGTGTAGAATGATATAATGGGCATTTAAGTAATTTAGTGAAAGACACACTCCCTGAATCAGTAAGTGCATCATTCATGACGTTTTGAACCAACAAGGTGTTAGTTTTGAGTTTGTACTGAGTTAGCTGATTTATATCCAAGGTAACATAGGACTAATGCATATTGCTTTAGTACTGGTGAGTAAGCAAAGGAAATGTGGGAAACAAATTAAGTTTTCTGTTCCTGATCAATGATCTTACTTCCATCTGTGAGTATTTATTGACTGAGGGCTTGAAGGTTGCACTACAAAGCGTTCTATTGTGAAAAATCTTACTGATCTCCTCCCCTTGGCATGCACATGAAAAATCTTCTTTTCAGATACTGATAGGCTATTGGTTTCCATGCGACTGTACAGTACAGAACCTTGAGTCATTGCTTTGTGAGAAAAATATTGATAAGGGTACGTAGTGAATGCGTTGGGAGATAGAGCTTACATAGACAGCATTTAAGTTGATTGGGAGAATGGATGGGTTTAGACAGAGAACAAAGTGTATTCTGAAAAAAACACATACAAAATAACAAAAATGGTCAATGACACATTGTCAGCTGCTAATAGTCCCCATTAGCAGCTATTCATTCTCCCAGGCTGATCCTTCACCACTCCTTTGTCTGTCCAACTGTTTTTCTCTCTTTTTGGGCTCTATCTCCATATACCATTTAATCCAACCCCTTCCTCTCACCCCATCTTCTGTGTAAATACCAACCTTTTCCAAGCAACTATCAGTTTTGAAGAAGAGTCACTGGACCTGAAACACGAATTCTGCTTTCTCTCCACGGGTGCTGCTAGACCTGATGAGTTTTTCGGGCAATTTCTGTTTTTGTTTCTATTGCTGTGACAAAATGGAACCGAGAGAAATAAGAAAAGAATGCATATTTTGATTAGTGCAGTGTTTTAAATGTTACTGAAACAATTCCTGGATGTGATGTAACTTGTTTTCTGGTTTCTTTGCTTTCAGGTGATGCTCTGGGACGGATCATGTCTGAAGTACAAGGAACCGTTGAGTTTTCAGTTGAATTGCACAAGTTCTACAATGTCGATCTCTTTCAGCGAGGGTGAGAGCTCTCTAAACTGCTGCACTTTCATGCAAGGGTTGTTTTCTGTTATTTGCTACTAACCAGTCACACTAATCACCTTATGCAGATCGCACTGTTAACATACAATGCACATAACTAGTATAGTTGACAAGGGGGAGCCAGTTGATGTGATACATTTGGACTTTCAGAAAGTGTTTGACAAAGTCCCGCATCGAGATTATTGTGTGAGGTTAAAGTGTATGGCATTAGGAGAAGTGTGTTGAGATGAATAGAAAACTGGTTGGCAGAGAGGAAACAAAGAATATGGTCCTTTTCAAATTGGCAGGCAGTAACTAATGGGGTGCCACAGGGATCAGTGCTGGGGCCCCAGCTATTCACAATATCTATTCATGATTTGGATGAGGGAACAAAATGTAACATCTTAAAGTTTGCAGATGATACTAAGTTTGGCGAGAGGGTGAACTGTGACGAGGATACAGATATCAGAGGTTATTCACTTGGAAGCAAAAACAAGAAGGCAGGTTACTATGTGAATGGCTGTAAATTGGGAGAGGGGAGTGTGCAGTGGAACCTGGGTGTCCTTGTGCACCAGTTGCTGAAGTAAGCATGCAGGTGCAGCAGGCAGTAAAGAAGGCAAATGATATGTTGGCCTTCATTACGAGAGGTTTCGAGTGCAGGAACAGGGATGTGTTGTTGCAGTTATACGGGGCTTTGGTGAGACCACACTTGGAATATTGTGCGCAATTTTGGTCTCCTTTTCTGGGGAAGGATGATCTTGCTCTTGAGGGAGTGCAGCGAAGGTTTATCAGGCTGATTCCGGGGATGGCGGGACTGATGTATGAGGAGAGATTGACCAGGTTAGGATTATTTTTGCCAGAGTTCAGACAAATGAGGGGGGGATCCCACAGAGACTCATAGAATTCTAACAGGACTGGGCAGGATGCAGGGAGGATGTTCCTGATGGCAGGTGTGTCTAGAACAAAGGGTCACAGTCTGAGGATTCGGGGTAGACCATTTAGGATGGAGATGAGGAGACATTTCATCTTTAAAAGTGTGGTGAGCCTGTGGAATTCATTACCACAGGAAGTAGTTGATACCAAAACTTTGAATGCATTCAAGAGGTAGCTAGATATAGCATTTGGAGCAAATGGGATCAAAGGTTACGGGGAAAAAGCAGGATTAGTCTATTGAGTTGGACAATCAGCCATGATCGTGCTGAATGGCAGAGCAGGCTCGAAGGGCCAAATGGTCTCCTCCTGCTCCTATCTTCTATATGAAAGTACAATTCAGTGGTGCTGCCCTTTTCATCAGCATCTTGCATTCAGCATTGTATCCTCACTGCTGATTAATACAATGGCATTAACCACAGCATCAATGGTGGAATCTCCTTGTGACTTGAACTGGGTATTGTGTAAATTCCTTGCTTCACATTGTAGCTGTGCTCCTGTAAAATGCAGCTTCAAGCGAAACACTGTTAAGTGAATCAGCAGGCCAAAGGTTCTGTAGGAGCTTTTACGCTCAGAAAAAAAAGTGAAATATTACATCCTGTAAGTCTAAACACTGTAGATCACTATATGACTATATTTGGAAATAAAAAAATAGCTTCAAGAAGTCAACTACAATAAATTAATCGTCTGGATGGCCAAAAAGCACCTCCCCCTCTGGGTTCTTGTTTTTCAACTTTTAAATGCCTCAATGTTCGACAGAAGGATAAAGAAAATGCTATAAAGACATCAGAATTTCTCCTTGAAAAATGATAGCATTGACATGAATGACTGGGTTAAGCTAGGTTTTAATTGTTCAAAATGGAGACAACTCTTCCTTCAATTTGTGTCAGGACTCAAATGTCTTAATAAAAACCGAAAGAACTGCGGATGCTGTAAATCAGGAACAAAAACGGAAGTTGCTGGAAAAGCTCAGCAGGTCTGGCAGCATCTGTGAAGAAAATAAATCGGAGTTAATGTTTCGGGTCCGGTGACCCTTCCTCAGAACAAATGTCTTAACGATGGTTTGGAGCAGTGGATAAGAAGGAAAGAAAATGAAGCAAATCCTGCACTTTGCACTCCACTGCCTCATGATTTTAAGGGGGATATTAAAGAAGGAAGAAGAGATGAACAGGATGAATGAGACAATTTTAGAACTTAAGGCCTGGATTTGCAAAGGTGTCCAGAGGAAGCCACTGAGAGAGCGGGCTGCATTTTTGTCCTCATATGGAGTGGATGGGTATGCAATTTTGCACTGTTGCTTTGCTGATTCCATTTGGGCAATCGGTAATTTTACTGAAGGAGGAGATGGAGTCTTGTGGTAACTGGTACAATTGGGAATCAAGTTTATTAGTAAGCTGGTCACGTTGCTCAGGACTAGTTTGTAACTTTCTGAGAACATTACAGCCTGAATCTGGGCACAAGGCTTTTGTAGCACAGTTATAGTGTCCCTACCTCTGAACTGGGAGGTCTGGGTTCAAGTCCCACCTGATCAAGAGGTAGGTAAGGACATCTCTGAACGGGTTGATTAGAAAATATCTACAACATGCATCAATAGCAGTCCAAATAGAAGGAGTCCAAATAGAACACAACAAAATGCTGTGCCATTCATTGGGAGGGGCCTTCAACCATTGGCACAAAGGTAGCATTTCAAATTGCTTTTTAAGTAACTATAGCCTGTAGCTATACACGTCCTCACAATGTTCAGCTGTGGACTTTATATGATTTGTCTTGCAACATAGTATTTCATCTCACTGATGTACAGTCATCTGCAGAGGATGCTGCAAAGGTGTCAGTGTACTAGCGGCCTCTGGTATGGAGGCCTGCTGTTCAATGGACCCTAGGTCAGAGGGGCCACAAAGGCCAAAGCTTTTGGTGCCTGATGATGGGTGGTACCCTCACACTGTTCTGTAACTGCTTCAGCACTTGGCTGGTGCTCTTGATCACTGGAGCTGATCGAGGTGTGCTACTGGCATCCCCTCCATGCATTTTTAGACTGCCAGTACCACAGCACCGTCAATGACATTTTTAAATTTGCATTCTATGCCTGTTAATGCGCTATTCCTGTGGTCACTAAGAGTGCGGCCACATATGGCTGTTCACAAGGTTATTTACTCTCTCGTTAGAGGAGCTCCATTGTCCATAACCAAAAGCCACGTGATGCTGATGATAGAATGGGGGTTCATTCATTTTCAGCTCAAGACCATGAACTGCCTCAGGGAGCTTTGACATATGGCTACACATCTCAGGCTGCTGGTAAAACGTTAAGCTGCTGTGCTTGTGAGGTGCTGCCCACAATTGCATCTGCCCCATTCACTTCCTCCTACTTACCCCAAGAGTGCTTCTTACCCAGTGCCACCATTTCCAATCAGGCGGAAGAGCCTTCTTCTGAGGACCATAAATGGTGGAGGGTACATTTAAGGGTGTGATGCAATTAAGTTTCTGTGTTCAATTTCTTTTGAGTCCCCCACTGATGCTGCAGCTTTACTGACATGCTCATCCTTCATAACTGGTTCAGATTCTCCTCTGCAAAACTGAGCATTCCCAATGCACACCGCATGCACTGCAACCTCTTTGTCAAGAAAGTTACCTTTTTAACCCTGACCTGTAGCCATTTTCATCTTTCTATCACCTCTTCTTGTTGTACCACCCTCGCAATGTCCATTGTCAACTTTTGCATTGCGTTAAGGACAGTGAGCTCGGGCAACTCACTCCCATGTATGTTTTCTGCCTGGCATTGTGTGCCGTTTCTTCTTGCAAAACAAATAAGGTGTCGTATGTATCAGTGCTTCCAACCCTTCAATAATGCTAAGGTACTGGGCCTATTGGCAGGCATTATCACTCTGGGAGCACATTTTCCCCCTGTTTAAGGGCAATATGCACTCTTAGTGCAGTCCCAGAGACTTGAGTGAAACATTGAGCTCACCTTGCCAAAGCCGAGCTCACTAAAACCGTTATGGCACTGCTATCAGGTTCTCTGGACCCACTCTGCCTACTCACACCCTTCTATTCCAAACCCAACTTGCTGGTTTGAGTCTTCATCAGGACCATGCAGATTAATTGGACTCAAAACGTCCAACTCTGCTGTCCTCCCACAGATGCTGCCAGACCTGCTGAGGTTGATTGGTTGATTTGATTGATGGATTTATTGTTGTCGCATGCACCGAGATACAGTGCAAAGTGTTGTTTTGTGTGCAATATAGGCTGATTGTACCATACAAAGTACATCCGGGTAGCCAAACAGAATGTAAAATACAGTGTTACAGTCACAGAGGAGGTGCAGAAAGAGAGATCAGAATTAACATTTTGAGAGGTCCGTTCAAAAGCTGTTCTTGAATATGTTTGTGCGTGTATTCAAACTTTTATTTCTTCTGCCTAGCAGAAGAGGGTGGAAGAGAGTATAACCACTATCAATTTCTGTTTTTGTTTCAGATCTCCAGCATCTGCAGTTGTTTGTTTTATTTTACTGTTGGTTTGACTGCCTTCTCCTGCCACCCCTCAAGAACCAAGCCCCTTTAGCTTACCAGCAGCACCCCGGTGCTACTTCACTCTGCAATGGCTGCTGTTGTGCCTTCAGAATAGCCGTGCTTTCAGAATTCTGTTCCCACCTCATACCTGCCGCTGCTAATTGGCAACCAAACCCGTCTTCCAGCTGACGAGGTGTCGACCTCATGGAAAATTGTGGCCTTTGATTACTCTCTACAGGACCTGAAAATGGTTTCAACGTCAGAGTCCTGAACCCAAATGCAAGACCTTGCCCAGAGAGGCTAAGGATTGAACATAAATATCATCATACCTGACTGAGAGCAGTTGCTTGTATATCATTCACCATGATGTAGAAAGTTAGCACAGGGGAATAGTCATTCATCATTAACATCAGGAGCTTTCAAGTCTGCTTAGGCACAATAAAGTACAGAATTAAGTCTCGATTCTGCCCAACAATATATGCCTCAACTTTAATTGCTGGAAAATGCAGTCTACTGTAGTTGCATAGTATTGTTGTAGTTCTTATCCAGACCACTTAGAATTCCTACT